ATTTACGTTATTTAATTAACCCAGCTTTACCAAGTGGGCATGTGAATATTGTATTGCATGTGTGCCCATTTAAAATCTTTTTTCAGCTTTTGGTAGGGACAGTGTTTTAAAATGCAAATTAATGTAGGAAAAATAGCAAGTGTTTGGAGATGACGGTAAAATAAACAAGTAGTCCAGGCAGGGTTAGACTGGCGGTTTTCATTGTCAGAGACATATTTGCATTAGAGCACTTCCCTACTTGAGACTGTCAATAGACTGTCAGACTGTCTGAAAAGCTACTGAGTGTGGTTGGAACCGTTCATTCGTGAAAGATATGATTGGGTTGGCATATATCAGATTTACTGTATGCCGGGCCACTCTGAGGTTGCTTCTGGGCCGGATGTGGCCTTTGGGCTACCAATTGGATCTAATTGGCTGATCCAAGCTGAGGTTCAAGGATTAAATTGTGTCTATCTACTTAATGATAAACCATAGTGTCTACAATATTGTAAAGACGTGTGAGGTTTCTCACCCTTTGTGTTTTCATGGTAGCACAGTTACTCCTGTGGTTTGCCTCACGATCAAACTTTCTATAAAGCTTATTTTGAGGATTTTCAGGCATGTTTAAAATAACCTGCTACTGTAATCCCAAACAGAGCAATCTGGTAAAAACAACAAATAAAGATTTTTAAAATTCAATATGCAGCATTTTTAAATGGCTTTTTTCATTTGTTTGAATCTTTACTCAAGTCTTTTTACATTTCCCCTTCGAGCCCCCCGCATTCACCCTTCACCCCCATCTCTCTCCCTTCCCTTCTTCCCTTCACCTCCCTCGCTCTGCCTCCCTCTCGCCTCACACTGCCCCGTCACCCCCCCTCTGATGTGTCAAGCACATCCTCGTTGTGTCTAAACAAAAGTTTACGCAAGTTTACACAAGCACAATCAAACAAAACAGAGGGGCTCTGGTCGAAACTTGCAAAATGGCCCCGTGGCCTGTGTTTATGCAGAAATGTTGGCAGATTTTCTTTGGACTTGGAGATGGCTGCATTTTTTCTTTTTCTCCCTCTACATCTCTCCCTCTCTCGCTCCCCCTCCAGCCTGAAAATTAAAAGCATCAGTCATATTAATGACATCCGTTAAACCATGAGATTTGCCTGAAACAGTGTTAGGAAGTGAAATGAAAACAAAGCCCTGGGTTCAGCGAGGACACTGACTTCTGCCGCACTAATACAGCAGTATATTTACACATGGACTGGAGGTTTATGGATGTGCGAGTCCAGGGCAGAATGAAGTCAGCATTAGGTTTGACTGCACTCTCATTCATGCACCATCCAGGGTACAGCCAGTGAAAATGATGGCTGCACAGCTGAGATGATGGGCCACTTTGAACTGATTTGTGGGCAGTTACCAGGATTTGAACCCAAACACGTCTGCAAAGTCAGAAAGCATATTAAATTATAATTAGGTAAGGTTGGAATCTTGGATATGGATTAGTTAGGTGGAGCATGAGTGTAAATCACACTGACCATAATCCTTAAATCAAATCACGAAATGGTCTGGGAAAACTGGAATTTTGGAACTGAACCTGTAGGTGCGCCTCCATCCAGGATGGGCTCAATTAAAGTAAACTTGAACCGCTGACTGCTTACACAGTTTCACTTGCTTCATGCTAGAGAATTTAAATGGCTAAAAATTCACAAGAATTACTATAGTGTCAGCCCGTTGGTTGGACAGTACAATGTACCGGACATCACACGTCAGTCAAAACAAAGTGTAAGAGTTGTGTTATCATGTTGTTGGGGTGGTAGCATGGCAGGTATACAGTAACTCCCACCAACACAGCTCTGTTGTCTATGGTGCACTGTGCATCTTTTTATCCTCTGTTTTTTGGCCTCCCTTCCTCAGTCTAAGGCTCTGTAACTGGAGGAGCGTCAGTGCTGGCGCCCGTCATGTTCCTGGTTTTTAAGATCCCCTTGGAGCTGATCTCCTGTCTCCGTTAATCAGTGCAGGGGCTGCTTCACTAAACAGAAATGAGAAGGAGAAAGTGGAGGTGAAAAGATGAGGGAAGAACAGGAAGAACATCTTGACAAAATAAGTGTATTTTTTAAGGCTAGCTGCCTGCGGATAGTTTTATCTGCATTACTGCGTGGCAAGCAGGAGAAGATGGAGCAGATTAAAGAAGAGGCTCCTTGTTTCACATTGGAAACTGAGTGCAGCTCCTCTCCTGTCCTCCTCCTTTTTTTCCCCCACCAGGGTTAACATGATAGTAAAGTAATCCCCCTCTCTCTCCACACACTGTTAACAAGGGCGATGGTCTTAAAGGGCTCCGTCCACACCGTAGGGGTTTAACAAGCCCGTGTTCACCTAAAAGTAAAAAAATGAGTTCCGAGTTAAAGCTACAAATGGAAACCAGTAACTGTAGCTCCAATGGAGAAGTGTGAGGAACTGACAGGACCCAGGCAGATAGACAGGAATAGACAGGGATACAGATTTTTGTGTAGCTGGACCAAATGTGTCTGATGTGTTTTGCTTACGTCACACAAATCTTTTTACATTTTGCTTTACTTATTTTTTACTGTCACATTGTAATAAATCTATCTGGTTATATAATTGATCTTTGGCCATAATTAGACTTCATTAAGACACTGTCCTAACGGAATTAGTCATTTTATCGAGTGACAAAGCTCTCTGGTGGCAGTAGTAATTATGACGAGAGCAAGGTGACAAAGTCAACACAGGAAGGAGGCCGGGGTGAATGGATGAGTCAACCAAACAGTGAACCTAAACACGGGACACCGCTGTTTGTTCCATGATTCCAGCAGGCTGTTCATCAACATCAGTTTCTTTTACCCATAATTGAAACCCAAACCATGATGTTCCCCTAACCTTTAGTATTCATTGTAACTCATGCACCTAATGATAAAAGTGATTTATTTTTCATCATCATTTCGCATTTTGTCCTGTACATTGAATGAGAAAACACAAGGATTACATTAAGCCCTAGGAGCAATTTGGGGCAGTTTGTGGTGTCTGTGTGTTTTTTTGTATGTTTGTGTGAGTCAGTGACCAGCAGCAGTAGTTACAACACCCAAAAACACAGACTGTCAAAGGAAAACCAGGGATCATGATGACCAAAAGCTCTGGTACTCTAGACTCTTTACATATGAAACAGGAATAGGAGAAACACAGTTTGACATTGTTAAGCCCCTCTTACATTCTGTAAAATGTCTGGTTCTGAGGTGTCTGTTGGGGTAGTCAGAAAGTAGTGGGTGGTTGATGAGGTGAATGGGGGAGAAAGAGAGACCCTTTACAGGCCTTTGTCAAACAGGCTGACATAACAGAAAGTGAGACCTGTCATTTGCTCCTATCTTTTCATGGAGGAAATTGCTACTGATGTTCCTTCACTCACTGAACTGAAATAAAATTCTCCTCTGATGGTCCAACAGTTTCTGAATCCCCCTTCCCCCAATCCTTTCTGACATTGGAGGCAGCTGCGTCCAACAATTTTTGTCACTTTCTGAAATGTACAATCCAGCAAATCACATCCCACAGTGATTGGCCACATGTGTGCGGAGGTGAGAGGTATTGAAGTTGCAAGCTCTCTTTTTCATTCTTCACACAACTACTTGCATCTTTGGCAGTACAACTGAATGCAACACTATGGATGCCTTCAGGAGGAGACTGAAGTCTTTTCTAGGATCATTTATGGATAGAAGTGATGTGTTAATCAAAACTCCAAGTCCAAGATAATTGAAGCTACTCACCTGTTCACCTCACTTGCCATTGTTGGAGATGACGTTAAGTCCAGTGTGAAGTAAGACACAGAGTTCTTGTCATTGAGTAGTCCAAGTATGGCAGTATTTGAAGTATGTGGTGATCGGTGAAGGGCCGGTAGAAACACTTTTAAATAATGAGTAATCCGGTATTTATTTATTTCATTTATTTATTTTTATATAGGTTGGCTTGAAACTTACTTAAAAGTTAAAAATAAAAAAGATTTGCTAACAACTTTTTCAAAACTAACAAGTAAGAACCTAGCAAGTAAGTATGAAACTGTCACAAATGATTGTGTGCCAATATGTTTTGTCCTGTTTTAGATAGTTGTGGGCCATTGAGAAGGGTACGCAGGGCTCCCTTTTCAATACACACTACACAGCTTTCCCCGACCATAGCACTCTTAGCGGCACAGCAGTTACAGTAGTCGTTTCAGCTAGGTATGGCGATGAAAAATATATATAATAAGGGAAATTAAAGCCGGTATATCGGCTCATCTGGTATATCGGGCACCAGAAGAGTGTGTTTTTGTTATTCTGTCCTCTTCTCCTTTCTTCTCCACATATGTCTGTTTGTGTAACCTGTCTGCACCATCTGCTAGGTCAACCTCAGAACCCCAGACTAAACACAATGCAAAGTCAACCTGGTCAGGCTTACTGGGTGCACACACACACACACGGGCAGCCCTGTTTGATCCCTGTTAAAGTCAGTCGAGGGTGTTACATGCTTGCAGTTCACTTCAGCCCCATCAAAATGCCCCATTGGAAATTTACTGGCCTTTCAGCGGCACAGTGGGGCCATATAAACACACTCACACACTGTAGATGCTCACGTTGTCAGACCCCTGTTACCACCTAATGCCAGGAGTTTGATTCAGCCCCTATGGTGCCAGGATCAGACGCCTGTTGGGTCACCCTGTCTGCCCTGTGTGTGCATGTGCGTGTGTATGTGTGTGTGTGTGTGTGTGTGTGTGTGTGTGTGTGTGTGTGTGTGTGTGTGTGTGTGTGTGTGTGAGTGCACATGGCCCACACATTCCTGACTCTGGTGTCATCCTTCTCATCAGACATTTCCCAGCATAAACCTTCCCTTACATGTTTATTTATGAAGCCTAATTAGCTGCTATTCCACCGTGCTGCCATGACTGACTTTATCTCTCTCTCTCTCTCTCTCTCTCTCTCTCTCTCTCTCTCTCTCTCTCTCTCTCTCTCTCTCTCTCTCTCTCTCTCTGTGTCTCTCCACCCTAACAGATGTGGACGAGTGTCTGGACAACAACGGTGGATGCCAACAAGTGTGTGTCAACACCATGGGGAGCTATGAGTGTCAGTGCACGGAGGGCTTCTTCCTCAGTGACAACCAGCATACCTGCATCCACCGCTCTGATGGTAAGGCTGGAACATAGAGACAGTACTGTGAGAGAGTTTCTTTCTTGCAGTTTCTGGAAATAATTCGCTTGAAAGAAGCAGAGAGAACATGTAGCTTTATTTCTGGGTTATATAATGTTATTTGATGCTCGTTGCTCAATATTTAACAAAATACAGGGATTACATTGTCCACAATGTTTTGGGGTAAGTGGATCAGTTTGCTAGAATGACTCAAGGATGTGACAAAATATTTATTTATTATAGGTGGAGTGAATTCATGCAAAGTCATTGGACAGATGGGTGCTGATTTGGTGAAAAATTAAAGGTATTTGTGATGATGTCAACGACAGGTCAATGCAGAGGTCTAGTCTTGTTGTATTGAAAGGCTTGACTGTGGGGCCGTTGTCTTTTCAGACACGTTATTTCTTTAAATATGATCCTACAGGAATGGACTCATTATGAGTCAATGGGCCCCTGGGCACAGTCATGTAAACGGGCCCCCACCCCCGTTGATATTAACAAAACACCCAGAATGAAACAGTCACTTTAAACAGAGGCCAGACCATGATCCCTTGGGCCCTTGGGCCTGTGCCCACTAGGCCCATCCATGCTTATTTGAACTCTGAGAGGTACACAGATTTTTTTCATGTTTTCCAGATCACTACTGGTGTCTTTAGGTGGATAAGGCTTTGTTTTGGTTTTATTTTTTGGTATTGTAAAGACTGTACTGAAATAAGAGCCTATTTTTCTGATAATGATAAACATTTGAGCAAAGAATTGTAGTTCAAGGGGAGACTACAAGATTATTAGATACAATACCGGGCATGTTGTTGCTGTTACAGCAGGGCTCTTGGGGGGGCACTGTGGACCGGTCAACCACTTTGGTCCAGACTGAAATTTCTTAACAACCTGGTTAGATGGGTTGCCATATTATAAGATGCAGATATCCCTGAATGGATAGATCCTAATGGTTTTGGTGATCCCCTGGATCATCATCTAGCGCAGGAAGGTGACATTTGTGGTATTGAGTGTAATATCTAATAACAGCTATTGCATGGATTGTCATGATATTCAGACATTCAAGTCCCACTCAGGATAAATTGTAATCACTCAAGTGATCCTCTGACTGCATATATTGCACCATTATCAGGTCAAACTGTAAAATTGTAATTTATGACCAAATGATATGACTGCAAAAATAATGACATTGCAAACATGCTATATTACTATGGAGAACATTATAAGCATTACACCTGCTAAACATCAGCATTGCAGTTGTTAGCACATTAGCATGCTAAATTCAAGCAGTCCAAAACACCTGTGCTAGTGGTATAACACTCCCCCACCCCCCCACCCCCCCACCCCCCAGTGCTCAGAGCTCCCAGTCAGGGCAAGGCTAACTGAGCTAACTAGCTAACAGCAGCTAGAGTTAGCAGAGTTAGTTACTTTACTGTCCATCAGAAAACCCTGTACATCACAGAGAGTTGAGTTTCACCAAAATCAGTGGTGGTGTGTGACATAGTGCCATAGTGCTGGAGATTTTACCCGACAACCCAAATTACATAGTGCAAGAATAGGCTTTTGGGGCACGTAGTGGAAATGTCAGAGGCACCATTCTTGCTATTACAATCCAGTGCAAAATTATTTTCAAGCTGTTCTTTGAAGGTAAAATTGTGCATTGTGTTGTGTTAAAACATTCCTTTCAGTAACCTATGGTTCATATCCCAAATAATACAGTCTTGTTTTCTCCAGGGGACTGTAAAATGGCTTGATCACTTACATGCTGTCATGGCAGTTTGCAGGGCAGTTAAACTCATGTGACTAAAGCTGTAAGAAATTTGCTCCTTTTTGAAGTTACAACAGTCTCATTTTCAAACATTATTTACATCCTTGTTCTTTGTTGTCCACTCAGCACCTCCTAAAAAGTAAAAAAAACTAATCTCCCATGTGTGTGACTTTCTGGATCACAAGGAGACGTGGGATTTGAGGGCACTGACATCATGCCTCTGGCTTGGCTAGTCGCCCTCCACACTCACAGTGGCAATGACAGACAGGGCATGATATGTGACTTGTGACATGCACGTTTGACATACATTTCATGCCGCTTGGATTTCTTAAAATTGCTCGACCCCACTACCCTGGTATCCCCGACCCATTACGTCTGTCACATTTAATTTATGGGCTCAGTCTGTGGCGGCAAGGGGTGCTGAAGGAGAGGGTGATCCCGAGGTGAGGAGTGGTTGCTTTCTCCTTCCCTTTGTACTCACACATGCATTCTCTCAGCACAATACTCACATGCATGCAGCCGTGAATGGGGACAGTGTGGCAATCAAGTTCAAAGACAGACGAGGACAATCATCTGTCATGTTTGCAACAGCACAAAAAACGGTACGCAGAAGGAATGTGCTGTAGGGTCAGGACAGAGGGGGAGGAGAGCGAGATCAAATAGAGGAAGAGGACCTCTCCTTTATCCTCTCCCTCTTTACCCCGGGTGCGCACAGTTTTGGTGTGGTCAGTGTGAAGGCGTGTTAGGGGGCAGTGTCAGGATGTTAGAGGATTCTCTGTGGAGAGAAAGAGGTGAAAGAGGTGCAGAAATAGACGTGTGTTTGCTCACTGGAAAACCCCATAAACCAGCATGTGAATACATCTCCCTTTCCCCCTCTCTCTTCCTCTTCCTTCAAAACTATTTCTGAATGTTTTGGGATAGCTCACAAGGGGGGAAGCAAATTCAGGTGACAGCCATTGAGAGTTCCTCTTACTTTGCTTCTAGATATAGATCTGGATATATGTTATATCAAAGCAGTTACTGTGTTAACGTGTAATTCCTGCTCCTGTCAGAGGGATGTTCACGGTAAACAAGCAGTGAAGATGCTTGTGGTATAGTCCTGTTGCCCTGCTCTGGCAGGCCGTTCTCAGCCTTTAACCACCAGCACACAGCCCTCCACCCGGTCCAGAGATCCTCAATCGGACACTTGTCTCCCCTCTCTCTCCTGCACAGGAATAGCGGCAGAATCCCGGTGTCCCACAGGAATCTCCTTGCGCACTTTTTCTTTCCATCTCCCCGACCATGGTTCACTTGCCAAATGTCAATTCAGAAGACTTTTGCTCATGGCTAGTGGCAGGCACCCATTCCTTCTTCTACCATTTAAGTTGGAAACCTTGACGGTACTCGTTTTTCTACAGTACCACAGGTTCTGAAGGTACCAGGGATGCAGTTCTGTCAGACCTGACAGGGCAGCATGTACACCCACAGATATTCTAGTATGCCAATAAATGCCACAGAAAGAGGAACATGTTGAAGACGACGACAAGTGCAGCTGTTTAGGTATTTCACTCGTGAAGCTTTTGTGCACAGTGCTCCAACAAACACAGCAGGACACTTTAAAGGGAGAGAGAAACTCCCTCTAGACGGCCACAAGATCAAAAAAGATTACAGAGAGAGTTTGTTAGGCCATTTTATTGCCGACTTTGTTATTTAGTGGTATAATTATAAAAAAAACAATAAGGAACAGCTTGGATTGGCATTTTTTTCTTAATGCCATGCAGAGCTGTTAACCTGTATTATTAAGGAAGACAGTGTTGGATCAGGGTTCTATATCAGCAGATACTCAATATTAAATGGGCATCAGGACATTTTTACCATGGTATCAAATTGGTATCGAGAATCATGGAATTTCACTCGTTTTAGTATTGATTACTAAATTTCTGGTATCGTGATATCACTAGTAGCTTGTACTCAACAAACACCATCAGCTCGCAGGAGCCTCTTCCTTTGACTCGTGCGTTGAATGAATACTGATGTCCAAACAAGAGCGCATGCTCATCCCTAACGTGTACATTCGATTGACTTGTACATTGCAGGCCTTGTTCAGGATGTCAAACTTGCCGCCACATTCTTCTTACATCTTTTCCCGTTGTGGAACCTGTGGAGAGTTAAATAACGCCAGAGCGTTGAACAGGCTTGTATGTGATGATGTGTATCCTGGCAGGTGAAAGCCCGTCTGCTGAGGACGTTTAGCAGGAAATATAGACACTGTTGATCTCACCTTGACGTGCCATTTTCACCACAACTGCAACAGTAGGGAGTTCTGGGCTACAACCAACGTCTCAAATTATAGTTGAGTAGATACAAATTATTACACACACAACTGTTTGTATGCGCGACGAGTGTGTGAGAAGGAGAGATTGTTGCTTTGCATATGGTAAGTGTCAGCTCGCGGCTCATTTCTTTCTCCCTGACACTCGCCTGGGGGATAATAAAGCCTAGCAACAATTGTTTGTTCCATTATGGTGTGTTTCCACTCTGTTGTGCTTCACAGCTACGTCTGAAGCACATCTAGGCGAGAACCAAGACTTTGGCCCCTGTGAGCTCCCGGCATCGAGTTGGGAAACAGCTCTCCTAGCAAATGTTCCTGATCTGTCATGATGTGGGAGAGCTATGACCACATGAGTCAGGTATGGCTCACAGGCCCAACGGTGACATGCATGTAGGATGGAGAAGCTCATTTCCATTTTTGGGGGAAATTTGAGGATCTCTAAACTGGGGGATCCGGCTTGTCAGCAAAAGTCTTGGGTTACCTACTAGGCTTTGAAAAAGGATAAAAAATGTGTACTCTGTTGATGCCATGAATAACTTTATTGTCATTTAATGAAAAACGGTGAACGTCTCATTTAATGAAGCTCCAGTTGCTTGCAGTTGTGTGTGATTTGCAGCAGCAGTGCAGAGGTTGATTAGTTGCAGTGTAGTATTAGATATCAAATTGATGCCTCCGAGTTGACCGGGTCTGTCTCCATGTCTGATTTATTAATTGTGGCTTTTGGACAATGTAGCCGCCGCCAAAACAGAGTGAAAACAATACGCTTGTAAATTCTTCTCTGTGCTTAACACCGAAGTTCCTGGCAAAGTTGGGAGTTGGCAGTAAGCTGGGAATTTTTAAACACCATCTCACGCGGACGCCATGCCTGGCGCTCCAAGAGAATGTTTGGTCGCAGGAGTGTCTGTGGACTGTGGAACACGATGA